AAGCAAACACCAAGGATGATCTTTTGATAGTCCAAGTGTTAGTTTGTCATCAAAGAATCAAGACTTGAGAATAAAATAGTATCCTTTTTGCCTCCTTTGCCTACCACATGGATGAACCTTGAAAATCCAATTTCCTGCTGAGGGAAGTAAGTCAGGACAAATATCATAGAATCCAACTTACGTGAGAGATCTGGACTAGGTACGTGTATGGAGACCAAAGTTCATCGGTGGTGAGGAGGAGTGGAAGGAAAGGGGAAGCGAAAGTCATTGATTGGGGGTGGGGGAGAGTGCTTGGTTTCTGAGAAGGTGATGGAATCCTCTGGAAACAGATAATGGTGATGGTTCCCCAACATGAATGTAATTTATGCCACTAAATGGTACCTGCAAAAAATGCTCAAAAGGCAAATGTTTGGTTACATATAGATTTGCCACAATTTAAAAATAAGTAGCTGAAATTGGAAAGATGTATTTTCAATGGGCAGTATTTCCTTAATTTTGTTATCACTCATACTTAGATTCTTGGTTCTCCACCCTCTTTTTGTCAGTGGTCTTTGAGTTAACAGTTTGGGAGCGAGTGTAGCCACTGGAGGAAATAATTCAACATCGATTCAAATTAACAAAGGAAGCGAGTGTATGAGGGCTTGGATGTTCAAATTCAGGGGGACAGTTGGAAATGGTGGAACTGGCATTGTCCTGAAAGGAGACTAGAAACCAAGGAGTCTGATGTACAGGGATGGGGAGCAATCCACACCGGCCGACAGCCCTGGGCCTGTCACTGCTTCAGTTAACGTGGATGTGTTTCCATCATAGGGCAGGACCCTGTTTCACCTCTCTGCATATAACTACGCAACTCATGTTAGTGTTGTTGTTAGGTGGCATCGAGTCAGTTGGGACCCAGAGCCACCCTGTGTAGGATTTCCGAGGAGCAGCAGTTGAGCCTGAGCTACCGACCTTGCAGTTCAAACCGACTTTGCAGTCTGGAGCGTTACCCCACAGTGCCACACCGGAACTACAACTCGCAGCTCCCCCATTTGTATCAGAGTAGACCTGGGCTCCCTCCATAGGACTTTTCATGGCTGGGTTTTGCCAGGCCTTTCTTCCAAGGTGCTTCTGGGTGAACTTGAAGCCCTAGTCTTTTGGGTGGCAGCAAGAGTATTAATGATTTACACCACCAGTATCTAGCCTAAGGAAGATAGATGCAGATAGATGTGCCATGGTCGCTGCTGGTGGCGAGCTGTGTGTTGAAAGCTCCTGAAACAAACAGGTCTCCAAGGAAATGGGACACAAACAAGCTTGTTGGGAGCGGCCTGCCCAGGCTGGCATCTGTGGCAGCAGCAGAGCGCAGCAGGCCCAGACAGGATGCTGGCTCAGCCTTCTGGAAAGTTCTGGGAGGGAACCTAATGGTCAAATTGCAGGTCTCACCAGGGCTCTACTTATGTTGTGATTTACTCAAGGTCTGAATTACCCCTCAGCCTGTGAAATCCGAGGGGTATTTCTGTGATGTTTTGTTTTGGTGTTAACCAGTTTTCACCATATAGAATTTAAATGCAACCAGTTGCCACATGGAGTTGATTTCAGTTCACAACTGCCCCAGGTGTGTTAAAGTAAAACTGTGCTCCATCGGGCTTTCGATGCCTACTTTCTTGGCCGTTGATCGCCAGGTCTTTCTTCTGAGGTGCCTCTGGGTAGATTCAAACCAACAACCTTTCCGTCAGCAGCCCAAGTTGTTAATGGTCTGCACCACCCAGGGACCCCTTGATATGATCTCCTTCTGTGGAACACCTAAGTTGTTGTTTTTACTTTACTCCCCAACCTCTCATTTGCTGAATTAACAATAAACCTTATCAATTCAGCAAATTAGCCCTAAGATGGGAACAGGCAAGGATTTTACCCCTATTTCATTTACAGGACAAGCACAAAGTTACCATTTTTTTAAAATGGCTTTTGAAAAAAAAAAAGTGGATTCGGGGATGTACTAGATGCACCTGATACAAAGTTCAAAAGGTACAAAAGGGTTTACGAGGGAAAATAAGTCTCCCTCCCACCCTTGTCCCTTCTTTGGCCACCCAGTTTTGAGATGCATTTTGGAGGCGCAGAGAGAAGACAAATGGTAAACTACTGTCTGCCGCCATCTGCATCTCGTTTTGTTTTGTTGCTTTCACCTCACAAACTCTTTTGAAAACCTCTCCACGTCGGTACAAATAGCATGAGCTTTCCAGGGGTCCGTGGTACAGATTTCCTATGCTGTAGGTAGCCAGCCCCCTCTGGATGTACACTGGGAATTCGAAATGTGCAGTGTTACTGACAGTGATGAAGGATGGGGCATCTGGACAGCGGGGGACTATGGGAATGGCTAAGTGGAATGGGTGAATTAAAAATTACTTTCTTTTCTTTACTTTTTCTTTTAATTTTGAGACGGTCCAGCCAGTCGTCTTGGCACTGCAGCCGACTGGAGAGTGCTTACTCCCGCTTACCAGCATGGTACATTACCAAACAAGTCCCTCCTTGTGGGCTCGTATCTAGTTTGTGTTTTTCTTGTTTTAAGTCCACACCTATGTTAGGATGCACATCACCTGAGCTCTAATTGGCAGTGCCCTTGGTGGTGGGGTGCTGTGTCCCTGGCATCCCCCGCACAGAGTCTCTGTACGCAGTGTGGAGCCAGGAAGGGCTGGGGTCATAGCTTGGAGCTCCCGGGGTTCCCAGCAGTGACCCTAGGGTCAGGAGTCAGTTTGGAATCCCCTGTGCCCAGTGGCCGTTTGGAGACTGGAACATCCCAGAGCTGTCTGGGAAATTCTCTGGGAAAGGAGACAGGACACGGGAGCCAGAAGGGTGGCTCGTGGGAGACAACAGTGGTCCCACTCAGAAGGGGTCCAGGTGCATGTTTTAGCTGCGTGGTCGCCCCCCAGTGCCACCGCTGGCTCCCACCCGAGTGCAGGCCTGGGCCTTTTCTGTAACAAGCTTATGAAGCGCCTCCTTGGAGGCAGCATGGGAAGCTGCAAAGTCGATGGAGAATCTGGAATGAGCGGCCTGCCAGTGAGGGCGCTGGTGGGAACCATCTCCTAGCAGAGCCTGGGGGGTCTAGGCCCCTCGTCTGCAGCGGGGGGAGGGGAGGCGCTGACCACTCTGTGGGGCTGTCGTGAGGGGCAGGTGGCTCATGGGATGTGTCCAGTGTGGGTTGCACCTCTGGTCCAAGTCGATGGAGAAAGGCAACTGTTCTGACAACACCCATAATCACTAAATGCCTCAGTCCCTGACACCTGCACAGACCAGGTGGGGAGCGAGTACAGACGTCCAGGGCTGCACCTTCTGATGCCGGTCATGGCAAGAATGTGCTAATAGAAAGGTAGCCGAGCATCTCCTGCACTCAGGGAGATGCCCCAATGTGTCCAGGGGGCCAGCAGTGCATAGTCAGTTCTTGAGAAAACCACCAGGCTCCTTGTCACCCTTTGGGACCCAGCCCCAGTGCCACCTCCTGAGAGGGGCCCTCCTGACCCCCACATTAAGGAAGACAGTCCAGGTGTCCAGGCAGCATCCTGGAGAGACGGGGCTAGCCCCAGACTCCCAGGTGGAAACCGAGGCTTGGAGGGATTCAGCAATGCCCCTGGGGTTCTTCACAGCAGAGGTCTGGCCAGCGTCCAAGTCTTCAGCTCCTGTCCACTACAGATGTCATAGCCCTCACCAGCTGCAGGACCACCTGGATGGGCCCTGTGGAGAAAGATCCGGCGCTGGCTGGAGTTGCCCTGCATGCTGACTGCAGAGCGGGTCGGGCTCGTTAGCAGCCATGGTGGAAAAAAACCAGGAGGCGTGCCGTGGTTATTGGCAGCTGTCGGACGGAACAGTCAAGAGCTAAGAGACCAAGCTGTGATTCATGAAATCCAGGGTAGTGTCAACGTGTGTCTCCTGAGGACAGACACCCTGTGTGCGGGTGAGGCCCCACCCAAAGGGGGCGAGGGCCTGTTCCCACCCAAGCTGGCTGTAGTCCCAGCTCCAGAGTTAGTCACCTACAAATGTACCCACAAACACATGTACACACTCAAATACACGTACTCACATTCTTAAACACGCTCCCATACATGGCACACATGCCCCCACACACATGTACACTTACACACATATGTGTGTGTGCCCACACACATGCTCATATCCACTGTGCAAGCACACAATTCATACGTGTTTATGCTCCCTCACACTTCTGCATGTTTATCTACACACGTGTATGCACACCATTATTTACATTCACAAACACTTGTGCTCATTCACACACACAAAGCCATGATCACATACTAACACACACACAGAGGTACACACACACACGTGAACACTCCCACCCCTGGCCAAATCTCCCCCTGACGTAGAGATTTTCCCATCTGTGCTGTGTGCCCTTCCCTGAGAATACGTGCTCTCGGTTAGTGTGTGCTGAGCCGCTGGTGTCTGGACCAGATCCCGGCACTGAGCAGTTTCCTCAGTTAACTTTCATGGATAAGCGAGTGAACAGGCAAGCCTGGGGCCCCACGTCAAGCACACTGACGTGGAAGGCCTGAACAATTTAGGGTGACAACAACACTGATCAGAGACAGACAGCAGCTGTGTTGATGTGACAAACCCCTCAGCAGGTAAAGGAAGGCGCCCACTAGGAGAACAGAAGCCACAGATGACAAACCCCAAACCCCACCACCAAGTGCATTCCCACTCATAGTGGCCCTGTAGGACAGAGGACTGCCCAGAGGGTTTCCACACTAAAAAGATGGTTCCACCTCCAGCAGCGCTTTGTTCTGTGTGGCACACGGTCACTAGGAGTCAGAACCGACTTGACAACCTCACAACAACAACAGTCTGTGGAACGCACTGCCACGTGGTTCTCCCAGACTGCTGGCCTTTTGGTGAGCAGCTGAGAACTTAACCCTCGCGCCCCCAGAGCAGAGAGAGGTCCTGAATTCCACACATGCTTGACCTGGAGCCTCTTGGCCAGCGTCTCCCCCCTTTGGCTGTGTCCTCCACAGGCTATGTTCGAGCTGGTCACCTCGGAGGCCTCCTACTACAAGAGCCTGAACCTGCTTGTATCGCACTTTGTGGAGAACGAGCGGCTGAAGAAAATCCTGCACCAGGCCGAGGCTCACCTCCTCTTCTCCAACGTCCTGGACGTCACGGCCGTCAGCGAGCGGTAGGCTCGGTGGTGGGGGCCCTCATCCTCCCTGTCCCTGCGACACACAGAGTCCCTCACCCTGGTGTCTGTCTGTGTACAGCGGCATTTTCCATAATACCATAAAACAAATGACCACAGTCACCCAGTTGCCACCAAGTCAACCCAACTCAGGGCGACTCCCCGTGTGTCAGAGTAGAACTGCCCTCAACCAAGCTTCCAATGGCTTTTCTCCTGAGGCATCTTTGGGTGGACTTGAACCTTCAACCTTTCAGTTAGCAGCTGAGCACTCTGTGTGCTCCACCCAGGGAATCCAAACATATAAACACCTAAGTCAGAAGATACGCACACACACCCTGCCCCAACAGCAGGGCAGTTCATCCCATCATGCCTCCGTGGGCCCACTCAGAGCCGTGAGCTAGGTCACCCTCCCCAGCCAGTGTGGGAGCAGCATTGAGTCCGGCCTCACAGAAGTGCCTCATGGTGCCCCTTCCCGGTGCCATGGTCTTGCCATGGTAAAAGCAGACAGAGCCAAGTGTGGCCTTGTATGTTCTCCTCTCGGATTGCTTGTGCCGTGCTTGGGAGGTGGTTGTAGGCACTGCGCTTAGATTTTAGCCTGTGTGAAGTTTGGGATGAGCTTACTCGCGTGGAGAAAGACCCAAACGAAACCAAGCCAATTGCCGTAGCATCAGTTCCAATGGGATGGAGAACTGTCCCATGGGTTTCCCACGCTATCAATCTGTACAGAGGCAGACTGCCACATCTTTCTCCCACGAAGCGCAAACCACTGACCTTTTGGTTCACAGCAGAGTGCTTTAACCATTGTGCCACCAGGGCTCCTTGGAGAAAGAACCCAAACAAAAAAACCTCCACATCTGTTGAATGGATTCCAACTCATAGCAACCCCGTGTTGTTGTTAGGGACCGTAGACTTGATTCCAACGCGTAACAATGCTATCGGCCAGGGTAGAACTGCCCGGAGGGTTTTCCAGGCTGTTGGCCTTTCCCATAGCAGACATCCTGGTCTTCCTTCCACAGAGCAGTTGGGGGGTTTGAACTGCCGACCTTTTGGTTACTCACCAATTATGTAACCATTGCGCTACCAGGATTCTTTTACCAAAAACCCAACCTGCTACCACTGAGTCGGTTCCAACTTACCGCGACCCTACAGGGCAGATAGCGCTGCCCCATATGGTTTCTGACGCCGTCATCTTTACAGAAGATCGCCAGAGCTTTCTTCTGTGGGACGGCCAGTAGGTTCAAACTGATGGCCTTTCATTTAGCAGTGCCTAACCACCGTACCAGTGACTCTAAACCCCAAACATCACTGCCATCAAATTTCTTCAACTGTAAATCTGTACAGGAGCTGACATCTTCATCTTTCTCCCTCGGAGTGGCTGGTGGGTTTGAACCACTGACCTTGCAGTCAACAGCCCAATGCTTAGCCCACAGCACCACCAGTACTCCATGAAGGAAGACCAGATAGCTGTGGACAAATGCTTTAAAAGAAGAGATGAGAAGCCACCACACCAGATAAAAGCCAGCTACCACTGTCAGGAGCAGACTGTAGAATAGACCATCAATTGCTCATATGCAAATTCAGACTGAAGCTGAAGAAAATGAAAACAAGTCCACAAGAGCCAAAATATGACCTTGAATATATCCCACCTGAATTTAGAGATCATCTGAAGAACAGAATTGATACATTAAGCACTAAAGACCGAAGACCAGGAGAGTTGTGTGATGACATCAAGAACATCATACAGGAAGAAAGCAAAAAGTCATTAAAAAGACAAGAAAGAAGGAAAAGGTCAAAATGAATGTCAGAAGAGACACTGAAACTTGCTCTCCAGCAATAGAGATGCTGAAGCAAATGGACGAAATAAGGAGATCCAACAGCTGAACAGAAAATTTCAAAGGTCCGCTTGAGAAGACAAAGTAAAATATTATAACAACATGTGCAAAGATCTGGAATCCGAAAACCAAAAAGGAAGAATGCACTCAGCATTTCTCAAGCTGGGGGAACTAAAGAAGAAATTCAAGCCTCGATTTTCATTATTGAAGGATGCAGAAAGCATCAAGAGAAGATGGAAGGAATGCACAAAGTCACTGTACCAAATGGACATGGTTGATGTTCAACCGTTTCAAGAGGTAGCATATGATCAAGAGCCAATGATCCCGAAGGAAGAAGTCCAAGGTGCATTGAAGGAATTGGCAAAGAGCAAGGCACCAGGAATTGATGGAATAAAAATTGAAATCTTTCGAGAAAGTGAGGTGGCACAGGAGGCATTCATTCATTTCTGCCAAGAAATTTGGAAGACAACTATCTGGCCAACTGATTGGAAAAGATCTGTATTTGTGCCCATTCCAAAGAGAGGTGACCCAGCGGAATATGGAAATCATTGGATAATCTCTTTGATATCCCATGTGAGTAAAGTTTTACTAAAGGTAATACAGAAACAGCTGCAAGCATACATTGATAGAGAACTTCCAGAGGTTCAAGCCGGATTCAGAAGAGGACATAGAATGAGGGATATCATTGCTGATGTCCTATGGGTCTTGGCTGAAAGCAGAGAATACCAGAAAGATGTTTACCTGTGCTTT